TAATTCTGTGCACAGGATGAAGAAATGGTGTTAGGACCCCCTTCCAAGAAATTTGCAAAGATGGAAGATTTGGAGTAAAATGTGTGTAATGCATCCCCAGCCTGTCCGAGACATACCTGCTGGGGCAGAATGCCCTGAGAGGCAGCTTTCCAGCTGTGATTCCTTGTACTCACCGGCGGTGTGGGGTTCACATTACAGCTTATGTTCTGGGAAGAGTATGGGTGGAACCTCCAGCATCAAACGTGTGCCAAGCTGACTGACACATCTCATGATAAATGATCAACTTGGCTTTTGCTCAACTCTGCCTTGAGTGTCCTTAGTGTGAATCATTTGCTCGCAGTTAAGCTGATCATCTGTGTTCTATATGTATAGCTCAGAAATGTCAAATTCAGAACTATGGAGGTGAAAGAAACACAGATCATTCTAACCCTCTGCCTGCCTCATGTTAAACAAGAAATTCAACATTATAAGTAGTAAACAAATTGAGTATGTAGCATTAACTATTCAATGCCAGAGGCTTGTTTAAAACGCCTGATACAGTTAATTCTGGTAACTTTCATCTGGTCTTCATGGCAAGGAGGAGAGCTATGACTGCAGGGCAGTGATCCTTTCCTGTTCCCCTTGTCAGTCGTCTAGAGTACCAAGCTGAGGTCATTGTTGAAGAGGGCATCCGGCTGATCGGGCAAAGCCTATGGCAGAGTATCTGGAACAGTCCTAGTCGACACCTGTGTTGTGACGTAATCATTAAAAACACCCCCTTTCACTCTCTAAAGAGTCCTGGTTTGGATAATAAATTATGTAATAATCCTGTGACCAGGGAGCAGTACCTCATGTGCCCACCATTGTTTGCCACTTTGCAAATCCTACAGCTCAGGGTTGTCAGGATAGTCATGCTGATTCAGGATGGAAGGAAGCTGATTCACTCCCAGGAAATTACAGGAGACAGATGCTTTGAGTTTTTAACATATGAAGAACGTAACTGCCAAGCAGAGTGGAAACCAATGTTGGTTTGTTAGTATGCTCTCTTTCTTGAAGGTTACTTTCCTTAGAAAACTAAAAATCCTTGTAATGATCAAAATCATAATTCTTGTAGATGAGGAGACTCAAGGTGGTCAGTGTTAGTTGGAGGAGCTGCAGAATTTGCAACTTGTTTAAATACCTGGTACCCATGCAAAGCATATCCTTTGTTCTACTAAGAGTTTTCCTTTACAACCAGGCAAGTGGCCTCGGTTCTCTTTCCAAAGTGATATTGGGGTAAACATCAGCTTCAGGGAAAGAATAGGGATGTGTGGTTCCCATCAATCCTCTGCTTTACTGATATCAAGCCCCAAGGTCCCTCACCACCTGCAAGGCCTTTTAGGGCCAAAGTCAGTGGCAGACATCTCCTGATGCCGGAGGGTCAGCCAGGAGCAGCCTCCCCCACTCCTTCCTTGCACCATTGGAGGTTTCAGAGACCCTAGACATTCTTTAATGTGTGCTTAGTGTGAATCTTGCCCTCCCCACACCCCAGTTCCCAGTAAACAACAGACACTATGGCCAGAGAGGATTGAAATCAGTTTTATTAATGGATTGGAGAACACGGCTGGGATCTGAGGCCCAGTGAGGCTTCCTTAGTCCTCTCTGAAGTGATGACAGCTGAGCCACTGGGCAGGCTCGCCAGACTTACCACCCCATCACAGACGAGGCTGGCTGGAGAGCAGAGTCCTGGCTGGGCCCACCACGGGCAGGTCCTGCTGGGTCTGTTTACTGCATGGAGACTGGAGGCCCAAAAGCAGGTCCAAAAGAGAGAGAGAGAGAGAAGCAGGAGGACAAGTAAGCAGGGACTTCTAGCACATGATCTCCACCCAGAAGGGAAAGATGGCCCAAAGAGTCTCAAATTTACCAACCACCACCATCCCAAGGTTACTCCAGAGGTGGAGCTTCTCCCCAGTACTTTCCTTCCAAGCTGGTGGGTGGTTAAGAGATCTTTCCCATTTGGCTGAGCAAGAAATGATAGGAATAAGGCAAATAGTTTCTGCCAAGAGGCAGGTTTGGGTTGGGAGCCTGGTTCACTAAACAAACAAGTGGCCAAGGGCCACTTTGTGTGACACTTTCAGTCTGCAGATACCAAAAAAAGGTACTGACTAGAGGTGGGACTGTAGGTCCATGTGAGCTCATGCCTGAACACTAACCACTGAATTCCTTTTCTTGCCTGTACTCACAAGCCTGGACCTCTGTAGGTCCATGTGAGCTCATGCCTGAACACTAACCACTGAATTCCTTTTCTTGCCTGTACTCAAGAGCCTGGACCTCTGAGGACTGCTGAGTAAGAACTTAACAGACTTCCGTACCCCCACACCCCAAGGGATGGAATGGATGGAGGGGTACAAAAGTCCAATGATAACATAAATAAGTTCTGGGGACGTAATGTACAGCACTGTGAGTACAGTTGATAATACTGGATTGCATATTTGAAAGTTGCTGAGAGAGTAGATCTTAAGTTGTCATCACAAGAAAAAAAATTGTAACTGTGAGGTAATGACTTTTGCTCAACTTAATCATTTTGCAATATATACATACATTAAATCATATTATATACCTAAAACTAATAAAATATCATACATCAATTATATCTCGATAAAACTGAAAAAAAGAACTTGATAGATTTGAGGCCACCACAGCTGGATCTAATTCAACTGGACCCAAGGTGTCCCTGTAGTACAGAATCCCTTTTGCTTCCCTCACAAGAGCAGCCTCTGATTCGACTGTCAGGTATGCAGCTGTTTGCTTTGTGACAAACCAAAGCAGAGGGCCATGCTGTATGGAAGGGAAGGTAGGAGTAAACTTCTTCCAGGGCCCATGAGAGGTAGGAATTTTAATGGCAAGTGTTGCAGAGTTGAGTCTGACATGGCTTTTTCTAGCACAGGAAAGCACCCTTTTCTGGCCAGAAGTGGTGACGTACTCATTTCTAGCACTCTAAAATCCTTCCTCCTACCTGTCATGCGGAACACTCCCTATTTTTTCTGTTCCTCTAGTTATCATAGTGCCGTAGCACTATCTCTTATTTGGGTGCATTTCCAATACACTCATTATTCCTGCTTTTAGCCAGGGTAGCTTTTGCCAAAGATTACTCCCATCCATTACCTGTGATTATTTTTTTCATACTATCACCAGTCAAGGGTGACCTCATTTCATGGTCCTAGAAGGCACCTTTCTGTAGTTTCCAACAGGCCATTTATACAACTTTACTTTGAATAAAACTAAATGATTGCAGAAACATTTTTCCCCAGAGTACTTTTATTAGGGACTTCTGCCACCATATTAACATATAAAACAATCTGATGTTGACATAGAAATGCAGATTTCGCTGTACAAAGATAAGGCTCGATCATAGGTAACACAGCCCTCACAGCTCTAGTATTTCAATGAGATCATTTCATTTTGAATTCTTCCCAGAGTTGATTTTATAAATACTAGACAAGCCACAAAATATATCCCAAATACATAACATTTTACATGTTCTAAGCACAGAAACACGATACTTCACCTATTTTTTTCATGATCCAACTTGCATTAGCATTAAAGACAAGATTGTGTGTATATGTATTTGCCATATATGTGTGTATATACAACTACAAATGTACACACAGTGATTTTCATGGACAATTGAAACCTTTGAGACTGTTTCATCCACCATGATATCTGAGAGGGTAAAGGAATAATAACATCACAAATTTCTCAATTGGGGAAAAGTAAACACAACTGTGTATGAAGGGCATGTCAGTGGTGTGTATACACACATATATACCAGTAATACAGAAGATACATATACCCACCCACTTGTTTGAACTCTGTGTCTCACTATGTTTTATACTTTCCGTCTTGGAAGCAGACTTTTTCTCACTTCATTCAGGCAACTGGTGGCTGACTGACTTCTACCAAACTTTAGTATTTCTAGAAAGGTTCTTATTCTATCCCAACAAGATGGCATTTTAGGATCCCAGTTTTACTTTCGGTGGCTGTTGTTTAAATTCAGCAGACCCTATGCTGTCAACCCCTTCACTTAAAAACATTTCTATTCAATAATCAAGTTTTTGACTAAAAGAAGAGAGATGTTAGCTGTAAATGCTAAAAATAATAAATTTATTACTGCTTAATATAAATCTGTATGGTTGGGTGGTGTGATATTTATCCTATCAGTATTTCTCAAATGTTTTATGATGGGCAATATATTACCTCCATAATTTAAAAATATTATCTAATATTACTTTTGAGGGATGAAAGCTAGATTTGCTGTGGTTAGAAATTGAAGCATAATTAGAAGGGGGACTAATTTATTGCAGACTATACTGGTAGGCTTTTTTATCAGAAACTATGACTTCAAAGTCATATGAAAAGGGAAAAAGAACTTCAGTTTCAAAGCTGGCCATTTGAAAACTTCCAAAATAAACTAGAAAATATTTATTTGTATATTGTTATCAAATTTCAGGTATGAAACATAAAACATAAAAATAAATCACTGAAAGTGTATGAGAAAGAACACCCTGCAAACTTAATAGCAAATGTATATTACGGTTTGCTTAACGGAAGGCTTCATCAGCTGACTTTTAAAGCTTACTTTCAAAATTAACTATCTAATGAAGCACTCAGAGCTCCACGAATAAGTAGGACTGGAACAGCCAGTGTGGAAATTATGCTAATGCAGAGCTGAAGTTGGAGTTCAGGAGTGATCACCGGAAGCCCAGTCTCTGTAAATGAAGGCCGTGGAACATTTTCAGTTCGTGGGGAAGTCCCAAAGCTCCAGGTTCTTACCTTTCCACTTACCCCAGAGGCTGGTCAGTGTACTGCTTGGGAAGGCCTCAGAGCCTCTCTCCCACGGATTTAATGGTATGAAGGAAGGTACTAAAACATTTGTCCCCTCTACTAAGTCTCATGACCTCACCCAAGCTGAAATGGTATGTTATCTAATGAGTCCCCTTCCCTTTCTTAATGAGAGACCCAATTATGAATGAATTAAGGTCTTAAGGAGACCAGGAAAGGAATATAATAAGTACCACACAAAAGTCATCAGCATTTATCAAAAAGCCAAAATTCACTCTCTCCCCCCACCATCTCTCATACATACACTTCTTTTGAAGTTCCTTCTACGGAAACACAATGAATGGCATGAGGTACCAAAAATGTGCCTTCAAGTTTCTCCACTTTTATTTAGATCCACGTCAACTTGGACAGCACGTATGCTGTTCTTTACATCACCCAATACCTTGTATCACCATCCCTTCCATAAAATCAATCCTTTTCCTACCAGCCTCACCAAAACTTTTGCTACTTGCCATTTGACCAGTTCCCATCTGCTTCCACACTTGAGTAAATGTACAATAGCATGCAATTAATTGGCATATCTTTTCACGTTTTTCCTTTAAAGTTGCACTTTCTTTTAAGTGTTCTGCTTCTCTAGCCAAAATGTATGGACAGAATGCACATGAAAGTAACAAGTCATCTTGTCCAAATACTTTGAAACATGGACCATCCTGTGTCCACTTGATGCTCAGTGTCTACATCCTCCAGTTCCATCATTTGTTTTGGGAGCTTACTATAGTCTTTCTACCTATTTGCTATCTTATATCTCATTTGCAGCTAACAACAAATTATGGGATTTTTCAGCCAAAAATATTTTTTAAAAAAAACCAGTGCCAAAACGTTAAAAAATTCCCAACATACCCTTTGTGCATTAGTTTTACAATCTGTACAATTAAATAACTCCAGGAGGCTTCTTTTGCTAAAAATTTACCAAAATAGTCTGAACACATAAAAATATTTTAAAAAAACAAAAACTCAGCATAAATTTAGTTGTATAGGCATTGGTTGGAGGACATTATTTTCACTAAGGATTATATTCAAAAACTTTCTCTTGGATTTTTACTAAAATTCTGATTCTGAACCTTATAGCTTATAATGATGCTAACTATTAAAAAGGGGAAATCTAATTCAGCTCAATGTATTATGATATAAGAGATAAAGAGTATACCTGTGATATAATAAAAAAAAAACATTTTTGATTATTTAAAGGCCAGCTTCCCGACCTATAACTAAAATGACTGTATTTGATTTAAACTTATTTAAGTGCAGTGAATTATGGAAAGCTAACTTAAAGGTTTTAATAATTGGTTTTGAGTAAGGAACACCTGTTGACGGCTCCATGACCATTCAGAACCAGGCATTTGCTGAAACAAACACATCACTAGTATTGAATATAGCCCTTAGTCATGTGAAATATGTGCTTTATGAGCAACCCAGCATGTAGAGAATGAGGTTTACTTTGCCAGCCACCCACTCCTTGAGAGGACAGTAATATTCATAGTGAAACTGCTCAAACTCTGGCGTCTGGCGGATTTCACATAAGAAGGAGAGATCAATACCTGACTCCAAAAGGAGGAGGAGCAGGGGGAATACAAAGAGCAGCAGCCCCAGGCCCACCACAAGGAGCCTGGAAAAACTCTTGACCAGTGGGTTCACCCGAATATGGCCTCTCAGAATGTCATAGCTCCACGACAAAGCTCGGTGAGCCTCCTTCAGCTCCTCTTCTTCAGCCATCAAAAAAGCATTTTCATCTGCTTCTAGTTCCTCAAACGAATCCGTGTCTTCTCTTTCCAACTCATGCCTAGATGGACAGTCAAAGAGCATGTCAATCTCATCATCATCAACTGGGGTGGGGAGCAGGCTGGCACTTGGGTTGTATGCCAGTTCAGAGATAGTCAAAGGCTCTTCTTTCATTTTATCTTCCTCTTCGCTTGGGGGATCCTCATATTCCTGGGCTTCCTTCACAGGTGAGCTGGAGATCAAGGGGGCAGAAATGGCATCTTCTTTGGGCAAAGGAATACCTGTAAAGAGACATTTTTTTTTTTTTTTAGTTTTCTTTTTCCACAAAGACCTGTGATGGAAACACACCAGAAAACACACATCTCATGTGGTTGGCAATATTTACATTTACGTGTGTAGTTATGACCTTCAACTTTGGTCATTTGCAAGAATAAAATGGCAATATATCACTATTATAATTTTGAGTGGTATCTTTTAGAAGTCAGCACTGTCAAACAAAGTATTATAGTAAAATTATAGAATCTGCTATCCAATTATAATCACTTTATGATGTTCTATATTGTTTTCTAGTCTTAATTCCAGGGGAAATGTGATTTCTAGGTGATGTAATTGCAAAAATGTACACAAACGTGCATCGTGCTGCTTTTAACATTTTACCTTTAACTTAGACATTTTCTATGTTGAAATAAACTCCCATTTGGTATTTAGATTGGTTGTCAAATTCTGTTTGGTTAATACAATATTATTTGCCTGTTGGCAAACATTTAGATTAATTCACAATTATTAAAAAAATGCTAGAAGAGATATCTTTATGTATAAATGTTCCCCTCTTGTTTTCAGTTAATTTACCATAGATAGATGTCAAAAGGTATGAATATTATTTCCTAAAGTTTACTGGAGAAGGGGTGTCTCAACTCCTCACTTCACAGATGGGAAATCCTGTTACCTACTGTCAGCCTAAGGCCAGCTCTCCACTTGGTGGGAAATAAAATTAGGATCAAAGATATGTTCTCCAGGATGGTTCTACAGTTTAATACAAAATTGGTAATTAGGTCATTGTAAACTAGCTTTAAATGAATACATTTCAGGATTTCTCTTTCTTCAATATGTGCAGGAAGTGACGTCACCCAAATAGCAACGTAGGTCATTCCTGACTCCACTTCCCCTCACAAGAACAACAATTCATGGACAAGACACCACAGAGAATCCTACAGCACGGGAGGGAGGCTGAAGCACACCCTGTTCCACAAAGACCAAGGCAGCCTGCATTAGAAGGTTAAGATGAATGACTACATGCCCACAGACCAGCACAGCATCACACAGAGAGGTCTCCCCTTAGCCTACGATGACATCCGGTTCTCAACCACTGAGAATCTGATTGTAATGAAGAAGGGGGGAGGGCTTCCAACAACCAGCACTCAGATCTTAGCAGACTACGTTCCTACCTGCAAAGCCCAAATAATAGTCCCTGTGAGCAGCTTTGCTCAGCTGCAGAACCAAGGTGGTGGCACAGCCTCATGCCCAGGCTGAAGAATTGAGTCATAGCTTCACCAACTGTGAAGCCTGGCCCCTCCTGACTAAAAGCCTGTTCATGAAAATTTTAGTTGCCTGAAATGAGCCTTCCCAGTCCCACTCAGATGGGAAGGCTGAATGATAGCCCCGTCCACTGTGGAGAATGGCCCCTTCCCCATCTGACAGGAAGGACTGATGAAAACACCTGGTAACTGTATTACCCAGCACTGCTCAAGCTAAGAGGCAGATAGGCAGAGCTGATGGTCCCCAGAGAAAAATAAGTAGCCCTGTTTAGCCAAGGAACTTGGGGCACAGGTGAGTTTCAAGTGAAGACCACAAATATACAACCTAACTCTCTGCCTTGTGGAACTAGAAAAAGATAAATGAAGGAAATAATAAAGACTAGAGCAGAAATAAACAGTGAACTGAAAAACAATAAAAAGATTAACCAAACTGAGTTTGTTCTTTGAAAAAGTAAAATTAACAAACTATTTTTTAGACTAAGAAAAAAAAATAGAGAACCTAAGTCAACAAAATTATAAATGAAAAAATAAACATAACTGATGCCAAAGAAATACAAAGAATCATAAGAGGCTACTATGAACAACAAACCTAGAAAAAAAATTAAAAATTATTCTAGTCATTCAAACTACTGATACTGACTGAATCAGGAAGAAACAGAAAGTCTAAATAGATGAATTACTAATAAGGAGACTGAGACAGTAATCTAAAATCTCCAATGAAGAAAAGTCCTAATACCACATTGCTTCACAGCACTATTTACAATAGCTAAGATCTGGAAACAGCCCAAGTACCCACCGGTAGATGAGTGGATATAAAAGCTGAGGTACATATATACAATGGAACACTATACAGCTGTAAGGAAGAAAGATCTTTTACCCTTTGAGACGACATGGAGGGACCTGGAGAGTATTATGCTGAGCAAAATAAGCCAGTCAGGGAAAGACAAGTACCACATAATCCCACTTATTTGTGGGCTATAATGAACAAAATAAAGTGATGAACAAAATAGATCCAGAGACATGGAAGTAGAGAACAGACTGACAAACCTCAGAGGGAAGGAGAGGTGAGGGAGAAGAGATAACTTATATGCGTACATTCATAACCAATGGACACAGACAGTGCAGTCAAGGCAGGGGGGATGGGAGCAGGGTGTCAGTGGGGGAAAAAGGAGAGACATCAGTAATAAAAAATTAATTTTTAAAAATAAAATGCACAAGGATATCAACAAAAAAAGAATACCAAGTGTTCTCAAACTCTTCCAAAAGATCAAAAAGGAGGTAAAACTCCCAAACTCATTTTATGAGGCCAACATTAGACTGATACCAGAGCCAGGAACAACACTAGCAGAAAACTACAGACCACTATTCCTAATGAACATAAATGCAAAAATTACCAATATAATCTAGCAAACCAAATTCAGCAGCACATTTAAATGATCATTCACCATGCCCAGCTGGTATGGCTCAGTGGATTGAGCGCCATCCTATAGACTGAGAGTCTTGGTTTGATTCCTTGTCAGGGCACATGCCCGGAGTTGCAGGCTCCATCACTAGTAGGGGGCATGCAGGAGGCAGCCAATTGATTCTCTCACATTGATGTTTCTATCTCTCTCCCTCTCTCTCAAAAAAATAAATGATAATTCACCATGATCAAGTGTGATTTATACCTGCTATGCAAGGATGGTTCAAAATACACAAATCAATCAGTGTCATACATCACATTAATAGAATGAAAGAAAAAAAAATCATACGATCAACTTGGATGTAGAAAGAATGTACCTCAGCATGCTAATGGCCACATATGATACTTCATACTCCGTGGTGAAAGGTTGAAAGCTTTTCCTTTAAGATCAGGAACAAGACAGGATGCCTACTCTCACCACTCCTATTCAACATACTACTGAAAGCTTTTGCCACAATAATCAGGCACAATAAAGAAATAAAAGGCATCAGATGAGAAAGGAAAATTAAAACTATCTCTCTTTGCAGATGATATCATCTTATGTACAAGCATACTTTGTTTTATTGTGCTTTGTTTACACACAGTGCATTTTCATCAACATCAACGCAAAACCCTCCATCAGCAAAAAGAGAACTTGCTGAAGGTTCAGATGATGGTTAGCAGTTTTTAGCAATAAAGTATTTTTAATTAAGGTATAAATATTTTTTAGACATAATTCTCTTACACACTTAATAGACTTAAGTATAGTGTAAATATAACCTTTTTATGCACTAGGAAACAAAAAAAATGCATGTGATTTGATTTATTGTAGTGGACTGGAACCAAACCTACAATATCTCTGAGGTATGCCTGTATAGGAAATCTTAAAGACTCCACCAAAAGACTGTTAGATTTAATCAACAAATTGAGTAGAGTTGCAGGTTACAAAATTAAGGTATAAAAGTCAGTAACATTTCTATACTCTAACAACAAATTATCTGAAAAGAAATAAAACAATCCCATTTATAATAGTATCAAAAGCAGTAAAATACTTAAGAATAAACCTAACCAAGGAGGTGAAAGAGCTCTACTCTGAAAGCTACAAGACACTAATTAAAGAAATTAAATTGAAAGGTATCCTCTGTTCATAGATCAGAAGAATATTATTAAAATGTTAGTACTACCAAATGTCATCTATAGATTCAGTGCAATCCCCATTAAGATCCCAGTGGCATTTTTTAAAGAAATAGAAAAAAAAATGATCCTAAAATTTATATGGATTCACAAAAGACTCTGAACAGCCAAAGCAATCCCAAGAAAGAAGAACTAAGTGGGAGGCATCACACTTCCTAATTCCAAAGCTATTGTAATCAAAAAAGTATAGTACTGGCATAAAAACAGACAAATCAATGGAACAGAACAGAGAGCCCAGAAATAAAACAAAGCATATATGGTCAACTGATATTTGGCAAGGGAGCCAAGAATACTCAGTGAAGAAAAGACAGTCTCTTCAATAAATAATGCTGGGATATTTGAATATTCCCATGTAACAGAATGGAACTAGACCCTAATCTTAAACCACTCACAAAAACTAACGTGAAATGGATTAAAGACTTAAATGTAAGAGCTGAGACTGTGAAACTCCTAGAAGAAGACATTAGAAAAAGCTTTTTGACATGGGTCTTGCAGTGATTTGCTGAATATAACATGTAAAGCACAAGCAACAAAATAAAAAGTGGTACTGCATCAAACTAAAAAGCTTCAAAGCAAAAGAAACAACGTGAAAAGACATCCCACAGAATAGGGAAAAGTATTTGCAAAGCATATATCTGATAAGGGGTTAATATCCAAAATATATGGAGAACTATACTAATAATCCAATTTTAAAAAGGGCAAAAGACCTGAATAGACAGTTTTTTCAAAGAAGATATATGAATGGCCAATAATACACAAAACAGTGCTCAACATCACTAGTCATTAGGAAAATGCAGACCAAAACCACAATGAGATATCACTTCACACTTGTTAGAATGGCTATCATCAAAAAGACAAGAAATAAAAAAATACTGGCCAGGGTAAGGAGAAAAATGGACCCTTGAGCACTGTTGATGGTATAGTCACTATGGAAAACAGTATGGAGGATCCTAAAAAATTAAAAATAGAACTACCATATGATTTATCAATTCCACTTCTGGGAATATAGCCAAAGGAAATGAAAACACTAGCTTGAAAGATATCTGCACCTTCATGTTCATAGCAGTATTTATAATAATCAAGATATGGAAACAACCTGTGTCTATGGACA